TACGTAGGCGAGCGTGCGAGCGAGCAAGCGAGCTCTCGAGAACGAGTCAAAGCACGCCACTATACACACGGAAGGACTTGTTATGCGTCGTCTCCGGGTTACGTGTAACTTCGACAACGCGGCCGCTTTTCCCCACCCGACCGGAATTCACTTCCGAGTTTCCCGACCCGTGGACAACCTCGAACCCAGGCAAGGATACCAGGATTCTTGGAATCTACCGAGAATCAAGGACTTGTACGTGACTCGTGGTGCCCTCCCCACCCCCGTCACCCTGTGCACGACCAGCACACAAGACGGCGCTCGCCCCGAATATTCTGCATACCGGCCACTTCACGGAACAAAATATATAGACTTTAAAAAAAAAAAAAGGAAGAAAAGAAAGGATGATTAAGAAACAGTGACGGCGTGTAAACGTCGGTAAGATGAAAGGACGAGCTGAAAGGAAAGCAAACACATCCAAGTTGAAAAGGAAGTATATTCTCTTCTGATGTCCCAGGGGCACCCAATGTTTCGACTTCGTGTCTCTTCTATGTCTCCGTCCACTCCCTCCGCCCCTCCCATCCACCCCTTCTTGGGCGCAAACACCCTGAAATTCTCTCGGCAAGTTTAACCGGATGATGAACGTGCTATCGTAACTTCGGTGTGGCTCTGAGAGGCTTCCGTTTGATAGCCAAAGTGCATACGGATGGGCCGTGTAAATGGGACGGGCGAGAGGGGTGTCGAGGTCGTTCGGATCGAAATTATTCAATTAAGGTTAGAGGCTACGGAACATCGTTGGCTCCCGGCGGTGGCGAGACCGAACGGATTCAGAAAAGACGCGCTTCCCCCTCCGAACCATTCGGACATTCTGATCGGCTAACCTCTTGAAGGATAAAATTACTGAAATCTTAGAGAAGATACTTTCATCGGAATTTATGTTAACCTTTAATTTCTTATACACTTTATATCATAGTATACTAAGCTATATTCCATTGTATGTTGCAGTATTAATGTATCACACAATTTAACTCAGCATACATTCAGTGCTGGTAGTTCTAGTGTTAACATTCATAAATATATTTTAAATACATGCAGCTGAAGAAGAGTCTTAAATACTTTGTCCCTGAAGAGGTTAAACGTTGGTAGATTTCCTTATGGTATCGTCTCTGTCTCTCTCTCTCTCTCTATCTCTCGAAATCAAGGGAACTACCACACGTCGAGTACGTTTCAATCGGGCAAATCACGATCGTCGATTCGGGGCGTCGCGACGTTATCAAAAGAGAGTCGTACCCTCGGTGCATAGCGAAGCGATATGCGACGAGGTTACGCCAACGAGAATTACGGAAGTTAATGCTCCCTCGGCGATAAGAATGTGCAGGGCGTTCGTCGAAGACGAATCGAATACAAATCAGACGACGACGCGGAGAAAAGGTTGTGGTACGATCGCGAATAACTAGCCATAAAAACGTTGCAACGTGAATCCCGCGCGCGCGCGCGCGCTTGATCAAGGGGGTTCAGAGTGTCAGAAGTGGAGGAAAGATGCGCCGTGATTCTCTTTCCTTCGTTCCGAAAGATTTCGGAATACGTCGGGCTCATCGTTCGACCGGGCTAAAAGGTGGAAAAACTCGTGCATCTGCTTCGGCGAGTAGAACGAGACATAGGAGGGGAGAGAAAGAGAGAGGGGGGGAGAGACTGAGGACGCCGGAAATCGAGGAAAAAAGGGGGGAAGCGGCGGAAGGGCGAAGCGCTTGCGCGACGAGCTCGTTTCCATGGCTTCGTTCGTTTCACGTAGCAACAGGAGGACTTTTGACCCCGTTCGATTGTCCTTCGAAAAAAAAAAACTCGGTGCCTCATCGTTTCTCCCGTTTTGTCGGACTGGAGAGGTGAAACGCATCGTTGAACCGTACTTAGGCGTCATTCTCCTTTAAGCTTATCGTTTGTACAATGTCTTCGATGAAACTCCTGCCGACAGATGGTCTTCCTTCGTAATTCGCTCCGAAACTGGTGTAACTTTTTGTATCTTTTTTTCAACGGCGTGTCGGGCTTTGGCGAAAGAAACGCAGAACATTGTAATTCGAATTAATGAGAATTTTACTTTTTTGTTCGCTCGCGGTTACCCGTCCCCGTGCCACCTACTGAAACGAAGACTGGTCCTAACGGCGATGAATTTCGAAAGCGACCGCCGATTACGAGTGACGCACGAGGCTTAATTTTACGAGCGGATCGATGCGTAAAGAAAGTCGCGATACGAACGGAGTAACCGTGGACGCACCCGAATCATAAGTGACGTGGAAGGAAAATTATTTTAATATCTTCCGGCGGCACGGAATTTAAACGACCGCCGATGATACATGTGTCGATGATAATCAATAAAGAAGGTGCACACTAATGCAATCAGCCAACATTTTTTTTTTTCTTAATCGACGATCTGAACAATTCGCAGATGAACGCGCAAACGATAAGATTCGGGATAAGATATTCAATCACACACCTCGCGGTTTATTACTTGAGTCTGGATCCGGAGATAATTTCTCGTGTAAGATCGCGCAGAAATCCCTCGAGAAATTTCTTACTGAATGCAGGATTACACGCGCGCGGCGGCGATGCGGTCTCTTTGCCAAAATTGCGATCAGCTGTTTCTACATCAATCGCCAGCCAGCCAGCATAAATGGAATCCCGTTTCGTGCGATGGAAGAACACCGAGGAATCGGAGAATTTCCGAAGTTCTTTGACTCTTTGTCCCCTGGCCACCCAAGCGAACACGTTTCCTTTTCAACCAGGGTAAACGAAAAAAAGTCTCCGATTCATTTGTAGACGCGAAAAAATATCTTCACGGAATGAATAGTATTCCGCTGATCCCCATGGTCTGCTTTTGTAAACTTCACGGCAATAGACATATACTTTACCGCGGCTCTTTTAATTTCATTCAAGTCCAGGTTTTTTCACGCAGTTTCCGTCTACATAAATACCAAAGCCGCTGCAAACTTTCACTCTTGTTTCCTTTTATTATGTCAAACTAAAGAGCTTATCAAGCCATTGCGCCGTGCCGTTGGCTAGATTTCAGTTTGAATCTATTTCCCGATTCGTTCTACGTATCTTACATAATAATACACTTCACCGAAATGTATTAGCCAATCCGTAAACTATTCATTCCACTTTTTTGATCGTATCGCATATTATAGAGCACTCTGACTGGGCATAAAAGCGGTCCAACAACTGAGTACCGGATAGCGAGGCAAAGAAATAAAGAAACGGAAAAGAAGTTGAGACCAGAGAGGTTAATAGGTGAGGCGAAAGAAACGTCGGTCCTCGAGAAAAAAAAAAAAACAGGTTAAAACCGAACAGTCATCCGGTCCACGAAATCGTAATCGTGCGGTCCGAAACAGAATCGCAAGGACGTATGGGGTCACCTGTAGGTCATGGAAGGGTATGCTGGTCCAAAAAGAGTGTCTATAGGGACAAAGAAGAACCCGTTTTATATCATGCCACGAGTGGCGAACGTTTCCTTGTTCTTTCTTTTTTTGTTGCCCGTCTGTCACGACGGAGGAATCATCTATTCCGTGACGATGCGAGCACGATCACGTAGACGTACAGTTCGACGGCGTCATTAGGCGTCGCGCGCGTATAATCGAATGCACTGATTCTCAAGGATCAGCAAACGAGGGACCCTGGGCGGCGTGATCGCGGCCGGGAGTTCAAAGCACCTTGACTCGCCTTAGGTAGTGTGTAAAACGGGCATTATTGGACGTAACGGGGACTACATCGAGCGTATCTCGGATTTCTGCCTTTTATACGATTTCGTGGTGGGACGCAGTGGCGGCGTCGAGTGGAAAACCGCTCGCTTGCGCCGGCTACGTGACAGCCGGGCGGACGCGGCGACCAGTTTCCTTTTTCCAGGCGTGAAATCCAATGAAACGTAAGTAATTCCGTTTGCACAGTTGCCGGGGGTATACGATATCTGGCTTACACGTGGATATATGTATACGCCGGGAACTGATCCGAAGAACGGTTCCTACCTCTCCGCTCGCTAATTCTGTACTCTTCCACGTATTTAGACGACAGCGGTGTCTATATCCGGCATACTAAAGAAACAAAGAGAGAGAAAGAGAGAGAGAGAGAGAGAGAGAGAGAGAGAGAGAGAGAGAGAGAAATGTGACGTTATCTCGGCACACGAATAATATATATAATAACGTCCAAAGGCAATAAGCATTGAATCGAACGTATAATTATTATTGTGCGATAACTGAAAAAGTGGGACGCTAGTATCTGTTATCGGGGGGAGCACGTAAAATCATTTGAAAGTTACTTCGGGTAAATGCATGAAGATTCGGGTGAATTAAATGCCCTTAAAGGTCGATTCGAAACTGAAGATATCTCATATGTGTAATTTATTATTTTGTAGTTATTAAAGCGTGACGATTGAAGTGTGTAAAAACTTACTTGCTGTGATTGGATGGACACTTGAGAACTTGTACGAGTTTGAACGAGATTGGCACGGGTTCGCAGTGCATGGATACGTCCCTGGGTCGTACGATGGTAAGGCTCGGTGGTGGGGAGCAAGAGGGATAGGAGAGGGTTGTAGAGTTTCAGAAAAGAAACTGCCGGCCGTGCTGGAAACGAACGCGAGGTAAGGTGAAGGGGGACACGATAGCACTCCACTTGAAATCACCGCGACTGCATGTGTTACTATGCTACGGTGCCGCCCTCGATGGTGATCGAGAACACAACGACGCAGTGTGTTATCGGAGTTTTGTTTTTCACCTACGTAGATGGCGTTCCTATCGAGGTCATTTTTTTACGCGGTCGGTATGACATTACATTCGCGGTTGGTACGAAATGTATCGTTTTCGATATCTCGTTTGTTTCGATATATGTGGAATCTTTTAAACCGTTAGAGAAATGGCTGCCGAAACTCGATTAAGTTTGGTGTTGTGCATTCGAATGTATTTAAAAATCTCTAATGTATTCGCTTAGATTATTCAAGACAATATGCCATGGATCCACATGCGACACGAACGATAATCACGTAAGTCTACTTAAAATTCTTAATTCTTAATAGTCATTCAAAAGAAACTTACCTTTGCATTTGACCCCCACTTTCCCAGTGCCCCAAACATAATCTTCACCTGTAAAACGAAACAGAAAGAAAATATTATATACGACCAAAATGAACTTAGTACAGCATTGTAAAAAACGATAGTTAATATTGAAATGAGATACTTACAGTGTTTACAAAGAATAGGGGTTAAAAAATATACATCTATAAAGACATGGTCATTCTTCGGTTCTGTGTTGGTTGAATCACCTACATACACTGAAAAATAAAATAGAAATTAACGGATATAGTCTATGATTTACCTCAATAGTAATTAATTATTTTCAAGTACCGTATGGCCCATTGCTAAGGGTTACATAAGATGACTCTTCTTCATTGTGAGGGTCTAAGTATGGTGATAAGTTTCCTTTCAGCATTAGGACTTCCTCGAATGTACCTTTAGTATCTGAAAAGGAAACAGTTACTCTGAAATTTGCATCTTCAAAAAAATTTATATGTTTAAAAGTCGCACGGTTGCTTACCGGTACAAAGTCTTCTCAGTTCTACTGCTGTTTCACACAACTATGAGCACCGTATGTCTTGCCTCCAAATTAGGAGTGTTATCTGATGTTTTTGAAGAAATGATTATATTAACATATTACTTTCTCCATGGAAAAATATATTATTTGTTAACTCATTTGTCAGTCGTACATGGTATGCAAATACAAACTCTGCACAATACTAAAATCACAGAACATAATCTCTCCTGACCATTGTGCATTCTCTTTGTGGATTTAAAACATCTTTCTTTCACTTTAGCAGTGCCACCAATCGTGTCAGAATAGATTCATAATTGATACTCTATGTACACTATTTAAGAGTATTTGTAACTGTTTGAGCATTGTTTAGAAAAGCTGATTCTTACCAAAGATAGAGAAAAATTATATAGTCACTATTTCTTCTCTTGGAACTAATTTGATTTCTCTTCTTGATTATATTAACCAGCACCACAGTTATCAAAATCTTACAGTAACTTTTATTTAAGGCTATTTGCTTGTATACATAGAATTATGTTTAAAAATCTTGCTCAGTAAATATATATATATATATGTGTGTATATATATTTATATACATATATATAAAGCGATATATGCAATGATGAACTATGATGATCTTTCAAGTGTCAGCTTCTCTGAACACATAAAATCAGTCAAAGTAACTTGATATGAACACAATGATAACTAGTCATGCATGACAAAGTGATGCATAATATCTGTATCATTCTTTTTTATATTTCTTTCATGGAGATCCAATGCTCAAATATACCTCTTCCTTCGGTTGGATATTTATTTCATTTTGTTTCATAGCCACAACCACCTTCTATAGCCTATTATAATTCCTGCAACATAAAAACAAAACAATTGTTACAGTCTCTCTATCTATAAATCATTCAATAATTATTAATCAACAAAACCAATATTTTGATTCACACTTGTAATGCTTTCACGTTTAATAACACTCGAAACACATTAAACACTACATAGTATAACGTACAGTATGCAGTCTAAGATACAAATGATGCATAATATGCCGTTTTATGATAGAACTGAAAAAGAAAAAACGCGTAAGAAGTATCCTACACATAGTGTCCAAACGAGTGACGCGGGGATAGCTTACGTATAGCTCATGAACATCGGCAAGTTTCTGTAGCCATTGTATCGGAATCTCGAAAAAATGTTCATTCCGTACCACAGTAAAGTAAACTACGAGTATCACGATACTTCCTGTCGATCACATGGAAGCTCTATGCACACACAAAATAGTAGAGCGCACGCCTTTGATGACGAATAGTGAAGCAAAGTTTACATGCGCGTCGAGTAAATAGTAGCAAAGTTAAGCCGCATGGAGTTTGATAAAGCGTTCACATTTCAGGTATACGCTGTTCTATTTCACGTGTGATGGAAAAAACAACACCTGAAGGTGATTCGGAGAAAATTAGACTCTTTTCACGGATGAGAATCTCATCGAGATACGATATCGATGGGGATGCTAGGAACGATAGTTGACAATACACGTCTCATGGGCTGATTGAAAATGGAAAACACTACCTACGCGCTTCGGCACATTGGTTCCTCGAGCTTTCCAGCCTCAGACGTCGACGAATCGACTAAAAATCTTGGAAAGGCCAAAAGGTAAGTGACAAAGAATTGTTTCTCCTGGTCGCAACACGAACGAACACGGTTAGGCCAGGCTGAGCAGCTGAGGGCGCTGCAATTTATCATTGCTTACGTTCTATTAAGATGGGAAACCTATTCATACAAATATATTTTCAATCTTCTTTTCATCCTCTATCGTAATTGCAAATTTAAAAAATTCTACTTTTGTTTATTCTAACATATTTTACAAATGAATATTTATCGCCTATAAGCACACTTATAACTGAAAGTATAGCATACATGATTTAAGTTAAGATAAATAGTTTTATCAATTTTAACTTAAATTGATAAATAAACGTATTATTCGTCGCTTTCGCGGTTTTTTGTTGAAATAAGATACAATTTGTTATGATAATGGAACAATTTTATAAATATAGTACTGTAAGACTGTAAGAAAACACGAAGCAACATGATAGATAGGGTCCCTAGATTTATCCCCGCCAACTCCTACGTAGCTCGATAGGTGTATTGCCGGACGTGATCATGGATCACATTGACATTTGTCTTTTTGTTCTCACGTGGATGAGGCACGCGTCGCTGTGCTCTCGCGAGACAACATACATTTCCTAATATAGAAATTCAGGACACGGTGAACAGAGAAACAGCGTTATCATGGTCCGTGTAATTAGTCAGGAAACCTACGATGAAGTTGTCAATGAAAATATCGAACAATTCTCCATGACACCTGAGGAAGCTATAGAAGATGCTGTAAAACAATTCGAAGCTCAGGTACTCCAATTTGTTTATCTCTGTTATTCTAACTTAAAGATCAAAGAAAAGTAAAACTTCGTGTATTGTTATTGACGGATTGAGCTATATAGCTTGTTTGTTTGAAACATTATTTTATCCTTTTTCGCTTTATTTAATGTGCAAACATTTTTGAAATTCCGTTTTGACAAGTTATGAATCTGCTGTCATGACAGACACCTTTTGCTATTTATAAGACTGGTCATATTTTTTGGAGAGAAATGATCTTCTTCCAATAATAAGATTAATATTTGTTGTATGTTATGTGTAAATTAAATAATTTTATTTTATAAGCAATAATTTATAACAAATAAAAAACAGTGACATAATATGTTAGTTACCTTTCGTTTACATTTGTAGTAGGGCAGAATATCAGAATTCAAATAATCTAGATCGCATTACGTAAGTATCTTCTGTGCCATGGTTGTTTTTATCAGCTCTATTTTTATAGGGTGTAGACTTGAGCAACATCATGAAAGATTTAATGCTAACTGATGGCAATGATTTAATAGCAGGTTACGTAAATCAACTTAATGTAGCCATACAGGATAAGAGTTATGAAAATGTTTCCCAAACATTAGATAAATTAAGGAATGAATTAGACAAAGATGTTGCACATAGAATGTATGCAGGGAATAAGGGGGCATATAAAACTTTAATAAAGTTAATGAAAAGTTTTCCTAATAATAACACGGTAATAAGATCAGCATTAAAAACAATGACCTCATTAATGACTGGTAACCCAGACCTATTAAACGATGAGGGAGTCGCCTTGCAAATACAGTAAGGAACTATTGATAATTATAATTAATATAAAAAGTAACTGTTTGCTTGTGTAGTATATAACTTGATTAATCAGCATTTTAGACAGATGTACAGATATTTCGACATTACAATACCTTTTGCACTGGATCAGAGAATGCTGTATAAAGCACGAATTTAATAGACAAAGTATTTTTAATGCAGACATTTTCAATAAGCTTAAGAAAATATTGATGAGGGAAGATGCATCTGGGTCTGAATTAAGAGATGCGTGTGCTGTAATTAGAGCGTTGGTATTAGATGATGATATAAGGCACGAGTATGGAAAAGCTCATGAACATGCAAGTGTTATAGCAAGAGGGGCTCTTAGTGTTTTGACTGGATTAATGTCAAGTACATAGTCTTTTACAATATTATATGCACAAAAAAGGACCTGTATAGTCTTCTAATGAACACATTTCTTGCGCGTAGGGTTTAAAAAAGATAAAGGGGTTGTGGGAGACGTAATGATAACTTTAGCTGCCTTAATCGTGAGAAACGAATTTTGCCAGGAAGTGGAAGACGCAGGAGGTCTGAAATTTGTAATAGACGTTATGGTCGACTATCCGGATTCAGAAAAATTAAATTGGCAGGCTTTGAAGTTGCTAAAAGCTTTAGCTGGTAACGACGCTGTGAAGTCTCACATTGTTATTTCAGGCTGTGCCCCGCTAATTGTTTCTGCCATCAGTAGAATGAAAGTAAGTGTGCCGCCTGATCGATACTCTGGCGATTATAGATAGCGTTTAAACATTGATTATACCATAGGACTCTGAGTGTGTAGTCTCAGCTGGACTTGCATGCATTTCCGCATTAACATTGAAATGTCCCTCAAACGCTGGTGTGTTTTACGATTGCGGAGCGGCGCTTGTCATCATAGACGCGATGAAAGCTTACTCTAAGAGCGTGAATGTCTTGAAACAAGCTGCTTGGGCCATCAGAAACATGTCTGTAAGAAACAAAGCAGAGTGCCAAGAGTTTATTGCGTATGGTATAGAGGATGTTTTGAGGACTGCACTCAAGCAACACGGTCCTAAGCTCGAAAGTGACATGAAAGCGGCATTGAGGGACCTAGGACTGAAGGTAGAGCTGAAAGAGAGGTGGACTGGACAGGGTGTATCCATGAGCAACAGCAATTAATTGTGATAACGTATGTTTTACAATGTACCAGACATCTTTATGTGCTTCACATACAAACGACGAATAAATGTCAGAAAATAATGACTAACATCAGTACTTTTGTAGTATAATATACATTAATAATCGTATATGTACATTACACATATATGTATATATATTGTTTTATAACTCTTTTTATATACATGCACATATTTATATGTTGTATGTTACGGTAGATTTATAATAAACTTTTATCTTTAATACGGCGACGATTGCCATTGTTCAGAACTCAGAATCATTTATACAGAACATCTATCCATTAAATTATCAATTTCACTGCACGTTTACGATTCTGCTTCAGTATATCGAATCCTTAGGTTTATATTCTCACATTGAGCAAATGCACAAAGTCTTGTCTGCATACGAACGATTATCAATGATATTCTTTAAGAAAGTATAAGCTCGACAACAATATTCTTTCAATTCGGTTTTGGAAATGTTTTACTTTTGAGCAAGTCAGGTGTTTTAAAGTACATCTGTTTTTGATTATTTGATATATGTTATATTACATGCATTCTAAACACGTAACATCGATTTTTGGTGTACAATATTGAGCCCTTTCGATCAGTCTGTACTCTCCAATGTTACTTTATACATTCTAGATCAGAAACACGCTCGAAACCTTTGAAACGGGGAAGTCTTCGCGTAACTATCCCCTCGTGAAACGATTCTACAATAAACCGGGGCTAGTTCTGTCGATATTTCCCACGTTCTAGACAGCTTTTTCATTACCCTAAATTACACATTCACGATCAAGGACCGCGCTTAGACCACGCACCGGTCCTTTCATCGAGGATTTATCATTAATTACTGTTCGTTGTACTTCACTCCTGCAAGAGACTACGATTGTATCACAGTCTTTGACGAGGTCACATTCGCTGGCGAGCACGTTAGCGTGTGTCCCGAGCGAATATGATAATATAATAGACAGACTTTTATTCACATAATGTCGTGAAACTAGATGCAAAGTATTTAAAGTGGAGAAGACACACGGGTCAAGATTGCTACGTTTACTTTCACAAATTGTAAGTGTGCTTACGGACGGTGAAATTCAGTTATTACTGTCGTGACCGTTGATCATCAACGTTTGACCGGTATTGGAACCAGCTTCGTTGAACAATCGTGTGCGCGCGATGATTGCATAAAATTCGCTGTTTAGTAATAACCGCATGACGCCAGGCCGTGAAAGCCTCTCGAAAATCTGGTCGGTGAAATCGATAAAAAAATATATCATATACATATTGTTCGAGAGGGGGTGAAAAATGAAGTGTGGGGACGGTGCTCGTAGAGTGGCGATACACTATTTGTCTACAGGTTCGGATACTGGAAACGACTTTCATTTGAGGATATTGTTCGTATCTCTTCGAAATATATGCATACCCTGATCGTGAAATACCTCGAACCCTTTTCTGGTGTCGTAAGTTCGCTACTTTCCTATCCCTGGGACACGAGCCAGTAACTAGTCGCCCATTTAAATAATAGGTACATCGAGGGAGGGATGCCCTTCGCCGAGACACGTGGATACATTTACGGTTCATGGTGCACGTCACAGCCATAAATATTAATACTCGAATAATTGCCGGTACATAATACAGTTGTAGGTACATAGGTTCACCGTGAACGGTGACGTTCGGGTTGAGCAATTCCTTCCCCAATCGACAGAAAAGCAATTGCCAACGTTTAACCGTGTAATTAGGTGCGTTCGATCGCTAAATCGGTAATGGTCGTAGGTTCGAGGAACACTTTAGATGCATGCGGCAATATACAAGGTGTACCATTTCAATCTGTGGACCGTTCTCAACCATGGAGATGTGTTGAATCGAACAATCGGTACGTATGGAGATCGAAGGAGATCGGGAAAGTCATTGGAGCTCTGCAAGGAAAAATCTAGAAAATGATGGACGCAGTAAGGACATGCCAAGAACCTTCGATTGGTCGTACTCGTACGAATCGGTAATCTTTCACAGATTAAAATGGAACATTCTGAAATATTGGAAACTACTTTCTGCGTGGACGAAAAATGAAATCTAATTAAACGCTAAACAAAAGAAATATAATCGTAACGAATTGAAAGGAGAACGTAAAGCTACGGTAAAGGAAATCGTTGCATCCACTAAAATAATTCAAGAATCGACACTTACCTGATGGAAAAAACACAGTCCGTGTAAAGTAAAGAAACGATAGAAAGGAGAACGGAAAAAATTTATTGAAAACGAGAACGGTAATCGTGAAACAGAAATACGAAATGGCTTTTCGAGGGACACAAAGTAGATCGGAGTAGGGCACCGGTGGCCGTATAACTTCCATGAAGATCGGAGAAGGCAAACCGGAATGCGATTTTAATTGACACCGAGGATTGATTGCCCGCGCAATTTTGACGAGGTTACCATTAGCAGTTAGAGCGTAATCTACCTAAAGTTAATCGACGTCCACATATACATTTCGTAAAGATCTTCACGGACGACCGGCAGCGCTAATTGATAAAACGTCAAACACCTCGTAGGCGACTTCCGCTAGACGTATTGAAGATTTCTTTCTAAATGTACGTTACGATTTTTACCAGTGATTCTTATGCTTTCTCTACAGAGACAATATGTATATTTGTTTCGACACCATTAACTATAATTATCGTTATCGCTACTCTCGCTATTTTCGCTGAATAAAGAAATTGGCTGATCGGTTGACATGGGCCACGTATAGAGATGAGATGGATACACGAACGATTTCAATTCGATAGACTTTCTTTCTCTTCTTCTCTCTTTCGTTTACAATCGAATCGAGACAGAGTTAGAATTTTCTTTTCGCAACGGAGCGTCAAGCTGGTGTATTTTCTGGCGGTGTGGTAAGTAGCGTCCCGCGCCGCGGGAATGAATTCGTTAATAACTCGGACTCGTAAATTAAAATCACTGGATCTGCTCGACTCGATATGTTAATTAAATACTCGATAACGGAAATTGCCCGCGGCTCGCATCCATCGTCCGGCTCGCCGATACGGGGCGCACGGACGATAAATAACGTTTTGCAACTAATACAGCCTACCTATCGAAGTACACTCGAGAGTACATGCAGCCGTATCGATCGACGTACTTTTTTTTTTGCTTTTTCTTTTTGCTCGTGCGGACTCCACAGACTGTGTGCTCGCTCGTTCCGCTCGAGCCCCGTTCCGTTTCCCGCATCCGCGGCAGCGATGGGACCGATACCTTTCATTTACAAAAGTAACAGAACCAAACGATACTCCAAATACTTGCATGGTTTCCTTGATATATCAGTCTGTATCATGAATATTTATCTTTCCATTTAAGGAACACAAATATTTGAAATAATCAAGAATGATTCATCGAATGAAAGATTCAAGATCCTATGCAGCGATGGTAGAGCCTCGAAATGATCTTGTGCGTTCAGTTCATTTGGTTGTACCACCAACAACGACGAAACTAAGAAATCTCATAGCTTTCGGTAGATTTCGATTCCATCACCGTAAGTATAATCTATTCCCAATTTGTTTGTACCCTATAACTGATCACGGATCGATCCCATCGCTAGTCCACGCACGCTCGTCGCGTCACGGGCTTGCTTACTTATGTATACATATATGTATAGGTACACGGGGCGTACAGGTTTTCGCGGGGGGGAACGTGCATGCAAATGGATCGCAACTTATCCAGGGGCGTAACAATGATATAATCCTTCGTTTCTCGCGTCGACCTGGACATGTTTATCGGCGATAGTCGAGGAGAAGACCGCCCTGGGATTCACGGTTATCGCAAGGATTTTGGAAAAAAAAAAGAAATAAATTCGATAGGAACTTTCTACTTCCGATATCTTTATTGACCATCAGGGACCATTTCGCTTCGGAGTCGTCGTCGGTACTACTCGACTTGGGAGGCACCGCGGGAATCCGATGAATATACGTACCTCTCTGGCTCGTTTGCGTGAATGGTTTCATTTCGATTTGGAATACGGGGACAAGGTCGATGACGTGATCGTGTACCGATCCATTGGCAAAATTACGCCCCTGCCAGCTGTGTTCACACACGGTCGTCACACAGAGAGATGCGACATATCGACATACGTAACACACAGGTGCATACACATGCCGCACAATACGTATCGTTCGGTGCACAAATGGGTTGCATGCTCTCGCTTGTGAACCTGGGCGAACCTAAACACTCGTTTCTTTTCTTTTCTGAGACTCCCGACGACTAGTTAATTCCTCTAGGTTCTCGAATTCTTTTCAGTCTACTGCGCGTCCCGTTGTTCCCCGACGGAACGTTTCTCGAAGTAGCATAAATAATCTATCGCTGTCCGATCGCGAGGGAGCAATACGATCGATGTAATATAAATCTATGCGGTATTGAGATAGTCGATCGTGTTAAATAACGTTACACATAATACAACGGTCGTCTCTTAGTAACAGTCTTGGGTACTCGGCTTCCTACGTTCTAGTCGACGATCGTGTTACATTTTCTAAAGGGGGAGCTACGAGAGAGTTCAATCGAACACAAACAAAACGGCTCTGTGTGGTATGTACGTAACCTCTTGTAGTACTGTATCCGACACAGACCAGTCTTCACGACCAGCTCGCAGTTTGTGTATTTGTCGACGCATTGGGACGTCTCGTAGGCTTCTGAAAATCATTTGATATTCGTTAAATAACCTGACATCTAAAAGCATTTAATATTCGTAAATAATTTAGTGGTCCGAATATTCTCGACCCGACTGAAACCGTTCACGAGCTTACTTTTCGGTGGTTTGCTCGGCGCCGTGAGATCCTTCTTGCACGATTCGAGGCTGCATTGTTGTCTCTCGGTCGGTCTTGTCGCCTCTGTACACATCGTGTTACCGACACCCTCGTGGATACAACGAACCAGTCTGGTTTGCACGCCAGTGCCGCACGTCGCCGAACACTGAAAGTGGTTTTCGGTATTTACACGATGCCGCTGGAAAAGAAGAAACTCCATCGCGGTAGGATCGTAAATTTGCCCGCCGCGATTTACCTTCGACCAGTCCGAGGTGAACCATTCCGGTGTACACGGGGACGCTCTGCACGACTGCTCGTTCGCCGGTCTCGAGACGCCGGTGCAGTTGTTCGCCGACAACACGACGAATTCGTTGCTCGTCCTTGCGACGCAAAGGACATCCCGATACTGGACACCCACGCCGCACGACACGGAACACTGGAAAACCATATTCGTCCGCGAGACGTTCATTCGTCGTTCAAATCGACCTCTTTTGGTGGTCGATGTCAGGGATTTTGTTCAAGATGAAATACATATAACGTAGTCCAAGTGAAATTATGGACGGTTTAAGTCATCGATTTTCTGTTCTCGAATTTGTTTAAAAAATATAGGCGGTCGAATTTTACGATTTTTGCCTGTTTTCGTGAAAACACGACGTACTTAGAAATTTATATCGCGGAAACTATTTATCGTATCGAGTTCGTTCTTCGATTATTGTGATCTAGAAGGATTGCCCTACTATAACTATTTTTTGTGTTATATGAAAAATTGATTTTTCAATACTGAAAATGATGAACAGACTCTTTTAGTACCTTCAATTTCGGTTTGACGTGGAGTGACCCGTACCCGGTGCAGGACGAATAGGTATCGTTCGAATTGAACCAATGAAAGTGAATTTATTTAAAAAAAAGTTATCCAACGCTACCAACCAGTGTCCAGGGACCGGTGAACCACTTGGCGGTGTCGCAGTTCGCTCCTCCGTCGAAACACGGCCTCTCCGTTTCCGGTCTTTCTTTGGGATTGCAAAACAGCTCGCTGCCGTCGGCGCACGCCACTTGTCTAGTTTCCACTCCCCTGCCGCACTCCGCGGAGCACTGTAACGTTGGATAAAAAGTGACGGTAAAAACTCCAAGAAGAAAAGAACCAAAAACGAACAAGTCTTTCTGGTCTTAGCGATGTGTAATTCATTTCACCTTGGACGACCAGTCGGAGTACAGCCAGGGCGCCTGTTGTTGCTCCGCGCCGTTCTGCATACACAACACAGATTCGCAAGTCTTTTCGGATTCCGGCTTGTCCGACAACGGACAGGACTTCCCCGACGTAATACACGTGACCGTCCGATTCCGTACTCCCGGTCCACACGTTGTCGAGCACTGTGGGGGATCAGAGGGAGAAAAAACATAATATCTACATAGTTCTGAAGAAGACGCGTCTTCCTTGAGTGAAATGGAATCTTGAAACCGTTCGCACGAGAACGGGAGGAAACGTCGACAACACACTCTACGACTACTATTAATATTTGGTAAAAAAAGAAAAGACGTCCACTTACCGGACCCCAAGCACCGACGTCCCATCTGGGTGTGTCGTGCTGCGAGTGCATGTGCCTTAATTCCGGGCCAGTCGTGCAAGCCGGTTGTTTAGTACATGGTTCCACGGTTCTCAGATCGGGCGGTTGTACGCACGCACCGGCTGCTACTCGCATCGTCAGGTTCGCGTTCAGCTCCTGTACGCACTCCAATTTTCGTGTCCTGGTACCGCCGGAGCCGCAGCTGACCGAGCACTCGCTCCACGGTTCCGCCGCCCTCCATCTAAATCACCATTTGTGCCCCAACCCCCCTGCGTTAGTTAATTCGTGGCACGATCGGTTTCAGCGAATAACGTACCAAATCATTAGGAAGGGAATTACCTGGCCGGGCAGGGATGGTCGTTGCAACGCAACGGGGGTGGCTGCTCGGGCTTTCCCACGTTACGGCAACGCTTTTCGTTCACGAGCATCTGATTGGCCTCGCGGATGCACTTGAAAATCGCGGTTCTGATACCTGATGGGGGGAGAGAAGAATTTGCCGAGATTAAACAAATTCGGTGCTTATTCACGATACAGTTTCATTTATAATAACAATGGGGGAGACTCGGGACCAATGTAACAACTTATAAAACAAATGCCAATGGATCGTAGTGTCATTGTCGTCAAGAATAAGGAATTAAGGAGCCACTGACAGCCGAGACGGTATTATCTCTATTCGCCCGTATGAGCTGTCAATCTAAATAAAAAGAAATCTCGGCGGTCCTATTCGCGGGTCCCGGCCGCAGAACACGCTTCGTGTGTAAACATGCCGACGTTTCGGAATGGAAACGGCCGATGGAAAATAATAATAACGTTGGACGAACGCGGATGTGGGGCTTCCTGCTAATAAATTTCGTGAATTGGACGGAACTTCCGTGACTGGCGGCCACAGAGAATCGAGCTTCGTGATCTCACGGACCTCCGAACCCGGCGATAATACCGAAACGAACAACGGCGCGTCTCGACCGACTTCCCACGCACGACACTCGATTACACCCGTCTGCTCCTAGAACGCAAGTTTCAATTGTCTACGTGGTTTTTTTTCCTTCTTCTAATTACTCGATTAATTACCGTGTCCGAAAAATCGAGGTCATGCTCGTGTGTGTGGGACATTATGGCGTCGGATCGCGGATAAGTGGGAGGCATTAAGAGATCCTCGAATAAAACGGAAATCTCGTCGATAGTTTTCCGACTGTACAGAGTACGAAGATGCTCGGAAAGAATATCCAGGTGTTAGAAGATTACGTGGAACAACGTGTAAAAGCCGTCACACTGAAAGATCAGAGGTGTTACGTTCGAGAGGCATAAAGGCGTGTTCGCGTACCTCCTCCGCATTCCTTGGTGCACGGGGTCAATTCGAACACCTTCCACGCGAACTTCGTTCGTTTCCTCTTCTTGGCCTTCGACTTTGGCTGATCACCGGCCATCACGGTGGTCGGCTGACGCTTCATCTCTTCCTTCCGTGATCTGTCACGCGGCCGTGGCCGATTCTGCTCGTGATTCGTCGGTGATAAATCGGCTCTCTGATCGGATCTGGAAAACCGTGGTAGGTTTTACGAAGACGAATCTCGTGCCTCTTGTAATAACACTTTTTCATTTTTTTTTTCTTTTCTTTTTTCATTTCTCCGAACAACAAGCATGGTCTGCGAATCTAACTCGACAGTATTAATCTCTACGGGAAGACAAGCTGTATATATACATATATATATATATATGTATATATATATATAAGTTCGAAGGATATTTACATTCTGGTCGCGGGTATCGTCAGAGCGACGCGAGCATCCGAATCAGGTATTTCGTTGCCACGATCGATCGATCCTGCAACAAAGACGGAGAAAGTAACAAATCGCTCTCGGTGTGGTTCGCGCGTTTTTCCCCCATTTACATGTGAGTCATGACTCGGCTATAAACCGCTGCCAGGCGTAACCGCTTACGTAACCGTAAGGGCCCTACCACCAGAGTATAACCGAAGACAATCATCGGTCGAACAGCTTGAAAAATGCATTCGATTAAGCGTCGAACGGACGAGGTACGCGTTTACCTGTCACAAAGAGGGGCGGCGCTATCTTCGGCCTCCCGTTTGGCGTTTCCTTTAACGGCAACATGTACTTGTAAAGCACTCCGGGGTTCATTTCCTGCGCCAGAATCTGGTGGAACAAGTTCGGAAATATGTATTGTATGTACGGTAGAGTATCGTTCCTCGATGTGGCGCGAAATGGACAATGGGGTCGTGAAAGTGAGCAGAGACTCTCGATGTTGGAACAAGAAAAAAAGAAACATACCGTCGTCGATCCAATAAATTCTCAAAGGGGTCAGATATCAGAGGCTTCTTTATGGACACGTACCTCCAAATGCAAAGAATCGTTCAACGGCCCCGTTGCTAAGATGCACTCCACGCGGCTTCTGTCACCCCTCTGGTATGTTAATGTCGTGCCAGCCACTTTATAAGTGCCGCTTGAACTGTAAGCGAACGGACCGTTCAGGATGTAACTACCGTTGCTGTCTCTCAACGCTGAAATAGATCGGATCGAATCGTTAGAAGAAACGTTCATCGTGTGTGTTCTCTCTCCTCTCTATGGATCGGTGGTCCCCTACCTAAGAAGTTGCTGCTGAATCGAAGTTCGGAGATGTTGAGGGACATGGCTCCCTTCGGAACGGTGGTCACCGGTTGATGACCCCTCGGCAGGATTGGCTCCATAAAAATACCCTCGTACAGTCTACAACCTTTACCCTGACCACCACAGACACCACAAGCGTCCGTCGTCACGCCTGAGCCGACCACGCCGTCGCAACCTACCGGCTGGAAAAAGCATTTCAAACCGACGTTCACTTCGAGGATTCGGAGTGCTGTGTTTACTGAATTATTTGCGAAAACACAATGTCACAATTACAATGTCGCATCGATCGATGGGGATCTGAAGATTGTATCATCGATCGGTACAATCGGCGAACAAACGAGAGGAACATGAGAAAAAGAGTGGGGAATCAAGGTGTAACAAAAGAGAATTGTTCATCGTGCGGTGTTGCGATTGGATAAGGTGTAATATAAAAAAAAGGATACGTATATAAAAGGGAGGAAAACGGAGTATCGGAGGGACCAATTTCGTCGATCGTATCGGGTAGGAATCACGATTAATTTCCGCCCCAACTGTGGAGGAACACGACGGATCGGTTAAATTCGTACCTTGCATTGTCCAGCGACACAGAGCCACCGGTCTGCGCGTTCCATAGAAATTCCGGCATTATGCCCACGAAGATTCGGAGCGTCGCAGGGTGTGCCGTCCATTACTGCCGGTTCAAGCGTTGCGTAAAAACGCTCGCCGACGGCACGGCAATTGAGCGCGCAAGAGTTCGGTGCTGGGACGAACAACAAGTAATTACGGTTAAAGAACATCAGAAATAGGCACACATACACTGACGGAGAACAGGAAGAAGTTTATGCAACAGAAATGGAAAATTTACGTTCGTGGGGTAAATTGAAAGTAAAATTGAAATAATACTCAATGGACCGAATTAATGGAACGATCTTCAAAAGCTAATTTGGAACTTTTAAGCTTTCGAGGCTGAAGACGAGATCGGGCCATTTCGCGGGACTTCAGCTCCGTGATATAATTATCAAGGGATTTTCAAAAGAACGAACGATTTCGGGACGCGCGCAACGGGCAATTACAACGTCGAGCTTGAATGTCGGGTTGTCGACGAAACTGGGAGCACAGGGAACTATTCGAGTGGCTTTAACTCACCGTCCACGAACGGAACCCAATCGTAGCTCTCCCCCTTGTAGTTTCTTCCGTTATACTTGGCGCATTGTTCCGCCCGCAAATCCTCCGGGAAGTTCGGACATTTCTGTCGCAAGTAACGGGCTTAATTAAACTCCGTTGGTAATGAAGGTAGATCGCTGGGAAATGCCGGTTACGCCTGTAAACCCCCTATCGTGCCGTCGTCCCGATTCGTGCATGATATCACGATTGCATTTTTCGCGATGTTTACTCATGGCTTCGGCGGCATCTCGGACTACCGGAAGGTAGGATAGTATTTACATTTACGTAGCGAATTTCGCGCGTCCGTAATGAATTTCAGTGGTTTCGGGAGGCTGGCTCGAACAAACACCGGTACAACACGGGATACCGACTCTCGTACGCGGAGAATCGTTACCCCTGGTAATTTCCGGGTGGAAGATTAATTACGGACCAGTAAAACTGTGAATAGTGCTTCCGTGTTTGCGAACCACCGTTCCCCGGGCGAAAATTGCGCTCGATCAAGGCGTCACGGGGAAGAACATTCACGGAATCTTTTAATCGCGGAAATGCACTTTAGTGGAAAAACTCAAAGAGAAACAATTAAATGGAAACGGTACGTGTTCGTCTGTTTTTAAAGTGAATGCAGGTTACAGAAAGTAAATGTTCGTTTCCGGTAGATCCGAACACAATCGCTCGAATGTGTACCTGAACTGTACAGGGTGGACCTCGAAATGTGGACTAAAAAAAATGTTCATACAAGATTCCAAAAAAAATGAAATGAGCGGGTTAAAACGATGTTCAAAATGGTGTTCATCAGCTGCAATACACTCGCGTAAAAGGTTAAAAAAACGACTATTTAATTCTATTTATGACGTCTGTATCGAAGATTAAGCATCCAGAAAAATGTTCAATCGAAGAGCCAGCTGTAAAATAATCTAATCTGATCACGTTTCGTGATCCACCCTGTACTTACTTTTCGATCCCATTCGAGGGCGATATAATTCCAACGCACGTGTTTCAAAGCGATTCCATTTGTTCAGCTCCTCGATAAAGCGTACGATTACCACCATAACGCATCAATACCGATCTAGATGTATTGCTTCCGCGAGACAAGCCGATATCCTACGATGACTTCGCGTTTATGAAGGTCTAATTACTACCAGCGAGAACGTCCGTGGAGGGCAAAAGCCGTCTATTACGAGCGAGTCCTCGGCTCCGTAGGTAGTGATTATTCTTATGAATTTTAAACAACCCCGCGAACTCGCGAGCCAGCCGTATAAATAGCCATCGTGCGGATCCGTAATTGGCCTTCGCGATGATTTGTTCGCGACTCGTGACGCACCGACGAAAAAGGAAACCTTTGCCCGATTCCCCCCCCCCCTCCCTCGATACACATCACCCCGATGCATTTTAGCCGGTTTTATCGTGACGGATGCACATGAATCCGGCCTGCGTAAATGCAAGTTTCTGGTCGCTGCAAGAGGGCCCCTTCTTTGCAACGGTTCATGGAAGTTTCATGGGAGCATGTAAAATTCATATACCGTGATCAGGCGAGGATTCGACTGGTTTTAGGTAGACAGGATGTATCCTCTTCCGTATCGTGCGTTTATTCCTGAATATTCAGACGTTGCAGAAACGAGAGACGTGTACACGTTACTTCGTTTCGTTTCCACGGAGAGAATAACGTATCCACTAATTATACATCGCGCGACGATTCGAAGAGGAAAAAAAAAAGAAGTTCCACGGGGCCGTCGCCTAACGAAGCATAAACGTTAATCTATCACGCGGTCGGACAGGATACAAAGGCGTAAAACATTAACTCTTGCAGCACGTCCCCCCCCCTCTTTCCGTCGATTGATTTACCTGCGTGTTGCACGTGTGGTATCGCTTGTATGTGCCGATGCAAATAGGCCGCGAGTTGCTGTTCGTCCCGTTCCCCGGGATAATGCTCCTCTTCCTTAAAAGTCTCCTGGAACAAATCGGCTCGCATTAGCAGCGCCTACTTCGCCCGGCTCGATAGATCTCGATCCCCTGTCGATGGGTTCCACCTAGGGATCCTTACTTCACGTGTATTTAAATAAACCTGTACATCGGTACGTGTGATTTTAAGTATACACATGTAGTATTTCACATATGTGTCAATACACGTGTATTAACGTATCTTAATTTCGATTCCTCTTACTTCTTAGAATTCTCTCGTCTTAAATTTTAAAATAGATACAAACAGAAACCTGAAAACTAATTATCCGACAATTTCCGAACTCGTAATGAAATATTTAAACATACCAGCAATGTCAGTTGCCTTGGAAAGATGCTTTTCAGCTGCTGGGAATATAGTTACCTCCAAAAGAAGTCAATTACAACCAGAAAACGTAAATATATTAGCTTGCTGGTATCAAAACAGAAAATTCATATTCTAATTTATATTTGTAACAGCCTCGAAACTCGTGAAACCATAGTCACGATCCACAAATTAATATCAATGTTCTAAAAATTACATGAATTAAAATAAGACTGCATTAACGCACAGGTAACTAAATACACGTGTATGTAAATGTATGTGAAACAATACACATGTACCCGTGTACTTAAAATTACACATTCTAACGTACGTGTACGTGAAATGCAAGTTGAAAACCATGATTTCTAGACTTCCACCGGTAGCAATACTCGTTATAACCGCGCCGCGTCGAGTAGTTCGTCCAGGAATTGATCAGACCGTGGCGGACCTATCCGCGACTATTACCACTGAGGTGAACTATTCGATCCTTTCGTGGAATTCGTGGCGGAATTCGGATATGGTCGTTCGACAAAATACGCGTACGTATACAGGCGTACAAATGCTCAGCGTTCGTTCGGTTGTTGAACGCGAAGTGAAAGGGCGCGAGAAGACGTTCGTTTATTATTCCGTTGACGGGTAAAAAAATGCCCGGTAACGGTACACACGGGTCTCAATCTATTTTATCGTCGACACGGCCGAGCTTCGTGGTCCATCGATAAATCGTTGCGTGGAGGCCAACGTAACCGCACAGGTAGCGTTACAAAGGTGTAAATGTCAGCGACGATAACACGTTTCGGGGCCGTTGAGTAGCCGTTCGCCGCGAGTCGTCGACGTGCAAGCGTGTAATCATCCCGCCGCTACCGATCCGCAATTTCGCCCGAATGCGCGGCAGTTCCCTGCCCTGCGTACACGGCAGGTGCCAGAAAACGGGTCTGAGAAGAGTTCGAGACATACGATCGATCGGGAGACGTTCAGGAAGATATAATATGGCAACCGTGAGTTTGTCTAACATTCGAGTTCTTTGTTGGAACGTACCTATACCCTTTCGCTTGTAGGTGTTCGGGACCGTTTGGTCAGATCGAAGAAACGGTTGCTGGTGGCCTTTGATCGAGGGGGGAGATGTTAACGGTATCCCGGAACGTGTGATTATCAACGGAATCGGATGGTGAATTACTCGATTTTGCTCATCGAGCTATGGATTAGGACAATTACTCTCACGATTCCTTACTTCTTATTCCATTCGGGAATAGAGTAATTTCTGTATTTTCCGTGGGTGCCTATGCGAGGCAGTGAATACCACTTTCGATATCTTTCACCTCTTAGCTACGGTTCGCCAATATAGTAGCTTTCTTCGATGTCATTTTGAACGGTACACGCCACTATAGTAGCTCATTCATATATGTATAATTAGATAATTTATATATTTACTCATATCATATTATTGAAATTTTTGGAACGAAAATATATTAAAATGTTAAACGTTTTCAATTGTAATTTTGTTTTAACATACGTGTGATCAAACGTATAGTGTAAAGCATCTAATACCGATTTCGGTACTAACGGGTTTTAGCCGAAGTTTGGCCTCACCGTAATCAAGAGGTTAAAGTATCAGAACGTAACAAATATTTTTATTAAAGAAATGTTCTTCAGCGCAGAAATGATTATGGGATACTTCAGAGATCCGACCAGTGTGGTCATATTAATCTTACCCTATCAACGGTGTAAATTTGTGTTTTACTTACTGGTACGGCACACACTCGCGGGACTGAGATTGGATACCCGTGCCGCAGCTCCTCGAACACTCGCTCCAGGGACTCCAGGGCCCCCAGGTTCCCCTAATGCGATTATCTCGGCCCAGTCCGAACTGTGTCTTCTCCCGCAGCATATGATACACCTGGAAAGGTGTAATAATAACGTGTCGTCTTCCAGTCACCCCGGAGTTCTTCGTCGAAGTTGCCCGACAGAAACCGTGCGATTCACGGTGCAGTTTCGTATCGCTCGTGAAAGGTATCGACTGCGAAGACACATTACGGTGCCGAGTACGTTATTCATCGTCGTTACGGGAGGAATTCGAGACATTACGTAATCACGCACCGCCCCCGTGCCCATAATTAATTTCATTAGAAGTTCCTTTGGAGCTCGTCGGATTAATCAATCAAAGGGGAGGGGGGCGGTGAACGAAATTGCCCTCTCGTCTGACGATAATCAAATGGCCGGCCCTCGCGCCGTAATCCGGCCGCGTTAATTACAGGAGAGATAGACTCTACCGGCTCGATATCGCCCGGATACAAACTGTTTGTTCGATAATTAATATCGGGTACTTTCGTGATGGGGAGCTCCAATTAGATCACCACGCGACGCGATATCGCGGCTTGTCAATCGTTCCCGTAATTAATCGAAGAAAACGGTTCCGCAACCGCAGACAGTATTAAGTTGCACGCAAACTAATTTCAACGTGATCACGATTACGTTCGTCACGATCGACGAACGGAATCTGTTTATTCGTTCCGTAACGCAGATATACATATCTACATGTAAAATTTCTGAGCCACCCGAGGACGATCACGCTCGAATCAGCGTCGTACCGCTGCAGATATAATCCCATCCCATTCTGTTACGTTTATATTGAAGTTTAAGTGTGTTACAAATTAGTGTGAAATAATTCAAAACCACACATACCACTATCACTTCATCCTCCAACGTGCTCCGATTAATTTACCAACAAGCAGTGGCAAATAAAAAAGGGATCTAATCGTAAATTTATCGTGAATACGTCGAACGATAGATTAGTGACCGTAGGAATACCATCACTAGAAAGTTGCACTGCTTGTTAGCGGAACGAGCTGTTAAAAGCAAGGTAACCAATTAAGCCAGATTTACACTAGTGGTCAAAGGTACGGTCAGATCACGATCAGTCTGAATTTATACTATATCTCTCTCGTTGAATTACGTGTGAGCAATAAAAACCGCTGCCTGATTCGACGTGATCTGACCGTTCCGTCAAATCCGAACAATCGTTTGAACAATGCAAATTCTATCAACGTTAAACGCCGTTATTCCGGTTGGAAGCGGGATGTTCAACAGGTTGTCGCGAGACTATCGATACTTTGTGCCCGTCGACGAAACCGGTTGCGATCTGTGGTTTCATTTAAGAAAAAAATACAGGAACCTCGAATAATTTATCAGGGTCCAGGGATTGAGAAATCGTTCGTGTACAGTTATCGTGTACACGACGTGGTTCGTTAAGATGGTAAACTACGCAACGCATAAACATGCACGTTATGCTCGGCTGTTAACGACGAGCACGCTGTGTGTGTTTTCACGACTCCGAGGGCGATCGTCCGAGGTCAGAGACGATATCGCAATATTTTGCACAACAAACGGTCCATTTAAGCGTAATAGAAGCGCGAGCGCGCGGTTACGGAGTCGCAAGACCGGCAGGCACGCGGAGTTTGTTTGCGTTTCGCATTGATCGTTCGCTGGGCTCGGCCTTGAGGTTCCAGAGGCCTGCTCGGCATGTAATTTAGGAAGCTTCTCCAGTGTCAATTAATTATCCGCCGCGTGCCACCCAAGAATAACGTTCGCGTAATAGCTTATTAATTCCTGTAAGTGGATTAAATTAATATGCACCGGGGGCCGGGCCGTACGTTCACGGTAAAATATCTTAATGGACGAGATCTCGCCCGCGATAACGTTATTACGGCCGTAAGTTAACCGGCAACGAGTTATGTATCAAATTACTCTGAAAATCCGACGAGGCTACCAGGCTTAATGAACATATCCCGTGCAGAAAGCCGATACTTTTCGCGTGTATCGATGTCGGGGACCCGGGGTGCACCTCGACACTTTCCGAACGTCGTGAAAGCTTTCTTTTCTTGTGACAAAGCATATTTATCAGGATGCCGGGACCGTGACAAGGGGACAGCTAGTTCTCCAAACACCTTGTAGATAAAACAGTACCGATGAATAATCCAATCGTTGGTCTCCGGAATGTGAGTCAATGTGAGCCAACGAGCAACGAAGCGATACGATCGAACTCACTGAGTGTGGGAGGACAGGACTAAAACGTGAAGGAAGATTTGGTACAACGCGTAGCAGAATATTAACCGGCGCAGGCTAATGCTTTCAGCAAAGTAGAATTAATTCGAAGATCGTGCCAGCGATTGCTATCTTCGTTTCAAGCCAGGACGGGGAAACTCACCTCGATCGGATATTTGTCGGGCACGTGGGTACCGGAGACGGTGGCCGCGGTGAGCATTGTCAAAGCTAGGATCGATCTGAAACAGAGATTACAAGAAGACGCCTTAATTAATCGGACGTAATGGAATGCAATTTGTTATCGCGCGTTGTCAATCTCGCCGGGGTTTTCACCGAGCCGCCGCGCCGGTCCGGGCGACCGTTGAACCGAACCAATTATCCCCGTTATCGGGCGAAATATCTATCATTCAGCTGGTGTCTCTTTCGCCGGGTTAGACATTTCAAGAATGTGATAATCCTCCATGGATGACTAACATCGCCCGCGCGAGCTGTATGTGACGATGCAAAAACATTTATAGCCGAGACTCTCTGGACAATTCATCGTAGCTAAGAGAGACCGGGGTTGAAAGTAACGGTTTTTGGTTTTCATGAAATTAAAACGTCTACACTTTAACTAGGGGTTTAATGTTAATTTATACGGGTAGGTTGGAGATCCAAGATTAGTTCCATAGCGATGAAATATTTTTACATTAATAGTGAAAAAATTTTATCATCGTGAAAATTGACCGAGCCGGAATTGTTATCTTTTCCTCACTTTGGGGTTAGTAAGCAGAGTTGTGCACGATTATTAAAATTAGCTAATAACTACAAAGAATCAACATAACATTATAGTTTTTTCTTTAATTGGCTCGATACAACAAATTCTTCTTAATTAGCACAACAAAACATTGTTTTCTTAATGATATCACCTTCTTATTATAATTAATAATTATCATGATTTATTGGTTGTATCATAGCGCTGTCTCTTTTATTTAAAAAGTTTTAAGACCTATTGCAACCTACCCCTGTTACATCCAACCCCAGCGTTCCCTATTCTAATATACACAAAATTAATAATTCCCAGCAATCGACCACAAGCCAAAGATTCTTAGAAACGCGATCAAGGGTTCCAGAGTGCCTGGCGAAGAATTCCCCCTGGACGATTTACAGCGACAGAATTGAAGTGTTCCAGGTAGCGATGAAAATCCGCGAGCGCGCATCCTTTTCCTCGGAGCTGTTGCTCGGCTTCTTACAGCGTGAATTTACGTGATACGGATGGCCCGACAGCATATGTTCTCGATCATCCAAGCCACCGCGGGATCGGTTAATCGACGTCGTAGATTTCACGAGTTCTCGATTTTCCACGGCGCGAATCGCGTGCATGCATCACTAGGTAGAGCGTGTGCAGGCGCCAGTCCGTTTTGCCGCGGTAATTATTAAAACTGCACCGCGGATGCGTCTCTCTGACGGGGAGTAGGAAGCAGATAAGGGAGCGAAGAAAGACAGAACGAGAGAAAGGAAAGGCAGGACAGCGGAGAGATGGTTGTGACGTTGGTTCGCGAGTAAACTGTGCCACTAAGCACTAATAACGTTTCACTTGTTGCGTTTTCTCGGAAAGCTTAATTAATCATTACGCCCCTGACCAATGGAGGGGGAAGCAGGGGGGAGCAAGAGAGAGACAGAGACGAAAAGAGGGAACAGGGGAGACAGACCGCCTGCTGCCTCTGAAGTAGTCATACACTCGTGTGCGTGAAACCCACACACACCGAGAACAAGTGTAAACACGCGTTCGAACAAAATCAGAAAAACCGGCGTATTCGCTTTCCACGCGATGCGTTCGCGAGCGGCTGTGTAAAGCTGCGTGCATAGCAGCGAATGCGAGATAGAGAAGAGGTGTAAGGTAAACTTATTAATTAATGAACACTTGAGAGTGTTTCATAGCCCTTAAAGTCGAATTTTAAATGATAATACTATTAATAAATATTTGGCACGTGAAAATTAGATTTTTTTAATATCTGTACCTTTTTGTAACCTTATAGATTTCAATTTGAAAATTTTGGGAAAATGTGATTAATTAAATTAAGAAGGAAAAATACGGATTTTACATCACGAGCAATCGGTCGTTATCGTACTTCATTAGACGGAATCTGGTTGCGCGTTCGAGCGGAGTGCACTTTCTATGTTATTTATCGACGGTAGAGGCTAGACTGCGTGCCTCGGTATGCACATCGCCTAAGAAAGGGACGCGTCTCTCGGGTGCACGCGAGCGATGAAGCATTGCACTTGTGCTGCGCTGCAACAGGGGCGGCTTGGCCGGCCGTTTCAGAGCAATCTTGTCCGGTCGCGGCAACGGCAAACACGTGTTCCACGCCATTCTTTGCGGCGCTAGAAAGACCATGCGCGCGAGATCGCAGCCGCCGTAAAATCGTTCGACCGTTCCGATTCGAGTTAACCTTCTCTCTCTTTCTCTCTCTCTCTCCCGTTTACTCGGCAGTGTTCTGGCTCTGGGGATCCTCTTTTGCGTTCCGAGAACGATGTTATCTTCAATGCCACTTGTTAAGTAGCGCGTATCCCCGTATCTCCAATAGCGTTTTAACGGTTGTCGATGAATCGATGCGGTTCTGAAACATCATTATTCGCAAACAGGTTCTCCCGCGCGGTTCGATTCTTCTTCGTCTCGATTTCAGACACCGGGGAAGATCTCCGAAACGGTTTCCGCGATTAAAAAGTCAGCCCCCGACAGCAACACACACAGCCTCCCGTAATTACTCAAAACGGACGAGGGGGGCAATTTTCATTCGTCCAACAGCCGCAGCTGGGGAAAAAAAGCTACCGCTCTAAGCTGGTCGCCGTTCGTGGAAGTCGTTGAGACTGTTTGACTCCGCGGGCAGGCCACACGGGTGTGTCCTTTACTTTTGCTCGCAACTCTCGACGATTCTAGCCGATAATAATTCTAGCCAGCATTAAAACCAGCACACACGTGCGAGCATGCTTCTTATCGATCGGTTTTTAGCATTCCTACGCCATTGAAGACAAGACCGACATTGTTTATCGGTTGCTGTGTGTGACGCACTGCCAGCAGCGATATCGAAAGTCGTAACGGGTCGAACATACGACCCTCGGTTATGAAATCGCTCCACGCTCTCTCAGGTCCGATATTACACTACGTACACCCGCAAAAACTGTTTCTATGTATGTATATAGGGTGTCACAAAATAGCCGAGCTTCCGCGGCAGCATTGGCTACGCATTACGATTGGTAACCAACGCTACCGCGGTAACTTGGCCGGCGGACTCGCGCTCTGATAGGTAGGCGTTTTTCGTCTAAAAATCTCGTTAACAAAGCCTGGGATAATATTTTTGCTAAGAAAAAAGTTGGTTCAAATCATTCCAGGAACCCCTCATTTCCGGGAGTCGAAGCTATTTTGGGACACCCTGTATACGAGCGTGCCGGAACACACACGCGCACGATCTCCCAGCTCGTTTGCATGGTACAAATTGTATCCAGTTCCGTCGGACGCTTTTGTCGGGTGTCAAAGCGCTGCTGTCTCCCCCGAGGGAGTATAATCATTTTCGTCGGCTTGCACGATGTTTCCCGGGATTTCGCGAATCCTCGCCACGGCTCGTCGAACAATATTAATTCTAGTCGGTGCAACGATCCGATAATGATCCCCTGGAGACAACGAGGACGTGCGATTTAGCGCTCGTTTCAACAGATATACATTTCATCGTGACGGGTTAGGGTCACTGAACAGAGGCGGAAGACTTGCAGCAAAACACCAGATTCAGAGGGGGACACAACTACGCGGAAATCCAGCTAGTAGCGATAATAAACGCGGGAGGGGCAGTTATTATATCTAGCAAGTCTTCCAAATTTCGAAACAACATTGTAACGTCCACCTGGAACCACTCGAAGCATTGCAATTATCCGTGTATTTCCCTACGGGGGTTTTAAACTTTCCAATGAAAAAAAAACAACGGCAATTTAACGAAACACGAAGATCCGATCTTGCATGCGGCGTGGCACAAGTCGAGAGAAGAAGAAAGTCGGACGGCAAAGCGCAGCGGGCGCAATAACAATTAAATCCCTCTCCCGCCCCCTCGCGTAACTTTCCAATCCTCTGCGGAATTCGTTCGATCCATCCAGCGTGGCGTTTCTGCGGACGAAAAGAGCGGATAAGAATAAACTGGTCGAAAACGGGGTGGGGGGGCACATCGCGGGAGGCCTGCGAAATCATTTTAACCACGGTGGTCCAGGACACGGAGATTTTCGTCGGTGAACAGAGGGGGTGGGGACCTGGGGACCGATACGTACGGACACAAAAAAGGAATCACCGTGAAATATGATGCACGATACACGCACGGCATTGTCTCTCAGTAGAGGCACGGGGGGATCTGCGGCGTCAACCAGAGGGCGGGGGGGGGGAAGAAAGTCGCCCTCGGACAATGGGGGCGTGAGTCTCGACTGGCTCCTCTAATGATACCGGAGCACCTCGATACGGTGGAGCATAGGGTGTGTATTGTAAATACGGAGCGGTCGTGAGAAGCCGCGAACATTCCTGTTTATGCGTCCATTACCACGCACTACTCGTCGCGCGCGCTCCCCTTTCTTTTTCTTCGTTTTTCATCCTCTCGGCTCAAGGGGGGAAGGGATTGTGTACAAGGGTTCGAGAGAGGCTGCGGAGGAATTTGCCTGCGAAAGGAAGCGCACCGAGGACAGCACTGTCGGCCTCTCAGAGTTGGGCGCAATTTTTCATTCGAATAATATATGGTGAAAAACAGCAGTATGTAACAGCGTTATCCCTGACTCTGAAACAGTTAATGGGATTAAATAATTGTTTGCCCAGTGTCTACACGTTCGAGTGGAAGCGTTGTTTTCTAATGAAAATTTGAAATTGCATGTTTAATCGGTAAAGAAATGGCGCAGTATTTTTTGTTATTTTTTATTCGTTATTGGGAACTCTTGAACCTCTTCAAGATTTGTTTAAAAGTGTTGCACTCGATTCTGCGACTCGGAATCCAACAATGAATTTGCCCATCTCTGAGGCCTCTCAGCTCGGGCAAGCCAATGTTCTAGCGCAGTTATCCGTACTGAGGCTTCCGGGTGCGAATCGCCTCTGTACGGAATATTATTCCAACAAATTCGCTACGCGGGATCTGGTACGTCGCTGTTGTTGGATCTCACGATGAAGTCAGCTGTATTGGAATAACACGTTCCCCACGCGGTCTGTGCGCGCCTTGCGAAGCCCTGTCCAGTCACAATGTGCTCGGACGTGTTGCGAGAAGAGGAATCGCTGTTTAAAGAGGCAGAGGTAACAGGAAGTTCCGCGGCTCGTAAGCTTGTGCAAGTAATAATTACTCTGGAAGTTGGCCGTGACTGTTCTGACAGGCTTACCTGGGCTCATCGTTTCGATGCGCGCAATTTGCTGTGCAACACGATGATGTAGATTTACAGATGTACTACACTACCAGAAACCCACGGGTCTACTAATCGAATCCCATTTTAGAAGTTTCGTCCGTGGAAATAGAGGCTGCATCGTCGTGAAACCGTGGTGTACTTAAAAATTTATATGTCGGAAACTATTTATCCTATCGAGGTCGTTCTTCGATTATTCTAATCTACAAAAATTGCCCTATTATAAAACATGTTGTATGAAAAATTCATTTTCTAATACTGAAAATTATAAACAAATCCTTTTTCGCGATTTTTTCTGTGATGGGCAAGAGGTGTTATATTACCGATTGATATATGCAAAGATAGCGTGACAACGAAAGTCGGCATGTATTTATTAACAATAGAAGCGACCAAATAACATCCGCTATTTTACCCTGTTCTCCCCTACACCATGACGGAAGCGATCGTTCTGTCAGGAAACACGCGGTAGGTTTCGGTGCCTGTTAAACGCCTTGATACACGCGAAATACCGCGGCGGGCACAAGCTGAAACTGTTGGGGCGGGTCGTCTACGCGTTCCCCGCCACAGGTGAGACGCGGGAGAAATGTTTCCCGGGCGTTGTTTCTGCGCCAGAACGGACGTCACCGTCGGTTTCCGATAACCGAGCTGCTGTCACGCTGCGGTTGCTGTTGTTGTTGCCGTAAACTCTCCCCGTCTATCGTCTCCTTTCTTCTTCGGGCGTTCCTCTCCTCCACGGTCCTTGTTGGCTTAACTTCTAACCTCTTATACACGCTCGCCTCCATCCTTCTTCCTCTTATCTCCGTTCTATAGCCGCGTATTTTGCCCCTTGTTCCCCTGATTCATCGTCGTCTCCCCGTGTCCTCCCGTCGTGTGGTAGCGTATTTACCTCCTTTCTCACCTCGTAGGCTGGTTCGTCTTCCTCTCGCCTCGTTACACATACTACGGAACACCGTTTTCAGGCGCCTTCCGCGTGCTGATACACGCGGGAGGGTGCCTAAGGAAAGCCGTCGGTGCTTCGGATACTTTAAGGAAAATTATGGAGTGGAATGTGACGGTACGTGAGAAACGCGAATGAATCGCGTCTGGATTCCATCGTCGAAGGGGTGGATAACAGTTCGAGCTAGGGGGAAATCATGGAACAGCAGCTGGCGGTGCCTGTATTCCGTCTGGAATGCAAAGCTTGTACGGTTCACGATGAAACGTTTATCGTAGGAGTTCGAGGGATTCTGTCGTTTCGAGTTCTCTCTCTCTCGATTCCCCTGTTTCTTCGTGAAAGATGCAGCAAAGTTTCGGATCCGCCAAAGACGAACTAAAGCACATCCCTGTTGAATGGAACCGATGGAACGTCGAGAGTTTCGTGCTGACAAGGGGAAGGCATGGTTATCGAAATCGTTTTTGGAACGACACTATGTGGAAGTTTTTGAATTGAACTTTGAAGCAAAATGTCTCAAAAACCAAGGTCCATTCTGAAGAAAGCGATGAGGGTTTCGTAATACTAAATGTGTACTATAACTTCCACATAGTGCCGTTCCAAAAGCGGTTTCCACACCCGTGCCTTCCTCTTCTCAAACGATCTAACGCGTAAACGCACCGCGGATGGCAGGGGCAGGACAAAACAATGCTTCCGTGCGGACGTTACTTGCCTTGTAACAGTTAAAATACCGTTTGACAGCCGTAAAATCGGGTCACGAAACACCTTTGACAAACGTCACGAAACGATACCGCGATGGAAATTGTGTCGTTTCTCCTTCTTCTCTCCGCCACGGTATTTACGAACGATACACCGAGCGAGAACGTGTCAGCGGAAATTTAAACAGATGGAAATCACAATGGAACCTTGCGTACCGTGGAAGCTGGATATGCTTCTCTTTTCAAGGTCGTACACGCCAACGATTCTGGGCGGTCTGTCTCCGCGACTCAGCTGGACGGTCAAATGGTAGGGCAACCGTTCCGAAATTGCTCCGGTTAATTATCGTCGCGTTCGACCAGCTGGCGGCGGCGAACATAGCGCGGCAATTGTAGTGCTGAGATACGGAACAGCCGGATGTAACGCTCGAATTCGTCGAAACGTGACCTCTCTCGCGCGCGAAACATTACAAAGCCCTTCTCTCCATTCGTGCTTAATCGAATATGAAAAATGCCAAGAATGTCGTGGAACAAAGCTCTCAGTCGAACGAAAGCGTAATACGTATCATGGGGATATCAATAATGGAAAGGAATGTCTTTTTAATTTCGGAAATATGTGCGGCGCGTATTAAATACGAATTTAGCACTCGATATTTGGAGCCCATTCAATTTTGTCTGTCGACTTCGAAAAATATCGGACAATCGATCGCTTTGTACGACCGGTTTCAGACGTTCAATAATAAAACTGAACAAGTTTCGATATTTTCGTGTTCCCGAACGGAACAGAAATTCTATCGCGACATTTTTTCCGTTAATTCCAAGCTGGAACAACGTGGTGGGATTTCTCGATCGACAATGCGGAACCAACGTTACGTCGTCAATGGTTATCGATTTGGTGCCATTTCCTTTTTACGATGCTGCTCAAGCGTAAGCCGCCGAAGAATTCGTGATCACGTTTCTCGTATCATTGGACTTAATTGCACGCGAAAAGAAAGGCATGAACGTAATTGTCGTAAGTATTTAATTACGAGAGCGAAGCCGATCGTCTTCTTCTGATCTTCAATATGATTTTCGATGCGAAGAATATGGTAATTTATATCTCCGTTACCGATTTCTCTTTAACTTCTTTACCGTTTCGATCGTTACCACATCGAATGGACGATTGGAACTATTCGATTCGATTTACGAATCGATTCTTCGAACAAGCGAGTTCGTGCCACGGTCGCGAGTAACAAACGTGCAATAGGACGGATCGCGAGTCATGAACTTTTCCGTTTCATCGATCGTTATCGATTCATCCGGGGCTTTTTACCGTGCTAATCAGCCACGAGCTGGTTGTCGAGAAGGAATGAAATATAAGAGTCTCCTCCCACCCCCCTTTGGCTCCCTTTGTAATGCTCGTCTCATTGTCGAGTCTAATCGGATGATCTATGCATGACTGCCCCCGTCGTGGCGGAATCTTAATTCGAGATAGCTCTTAATATTAATAAATCGCCAACTGCGAACCGATCGTTGGTTAATCTCGATCAAGGCAACGATTATTTTGTTCTTACTCCTGCGTCGTTGCCTCGTCGAGAAATTACTTTGTTTCGAATCGTCTATTACGGCCCCTTTGATTGATTTCCTACAAAAAGTTTTCATCCGTTTCGGGAAGACACAAACGGTTAAGATCCGATGAAATTTCAGATCGATGTCATGTGACACACACGATTTCGAAACAGTTCGAAAACAGTTTGCGTCTGTTACATAGTGTAATCGTCCACGTGGACGCGAGAGGTCGTCGCCATGGCCAGGAAGGAATCTTAAGCGACGGGTGGGTGGACAGAGGGAAAGGGAGGGGGGTCCTGTACATTGACGAAATTTTAATTGCCCAATGGCAAGAAGGGACTCCTTTACATATCGCGAGGTTTTTTTCAGCCCCGAGCATAGTGATGTGACATGCCTATAAATACACACGTCTCTGAAGGTGTTATTAATAGAAGCGTGGGAGGATGCGAGAGTGGTACGTGCGACGAATAACGAGCCCTCTGCGACACCAACTCGCCGCGACTTTCTCGCCTGAAGAGACACCGCGCTACGAATGGACCAGGTGTGTGTGTGTGTGTAATCGCGTCTCTTCACTTGACCGCGCGTTTCCTGCTCATCCTTCGGGTGGCCCCCGCGTCGTTATCGGCCCTCGTAAATTGAACATTGACGTCCGCCGCGCTTCAATTCATTAAATTAACGATAGAAAATGCAGCCGGCGAATAATTACGCGGCTCGTTGTAATCATCTTCTTGAACCCGGGTAAGGTTTTCGAGTTCCGTGATATTGAACCCGCGTGTATAGCCGTGGTATTAATTAAATCTGAAGATATCTGTGTCGGATCGAACGGGAAGTTTCTCCGTTTCTTTTATTTCTTATCATCGAACAGTGGAAGTTCATGCGAATTCATAATTTCCATGAATATCTAAAATTCAAATGGGAGAGAATTTTGAATTTTGGACTAGAGGCTTTACTACATTAGTATGAGTGTTCGAAGACTCCTCGGCATTGAACTTTAAATATTTCGTAAACTAATGGCCATATGCGGGTGAAAGAAATATCATTGGCTTGGGCATTCCAAGCTGTATCATTGTGCTAAACAGCTGAGATTACGACATTTTTGAACCGTTCAAGAGCGTTTCGAAAAAGAGCTTCTGTCAGACCCAGACCTAGTGATTAGTGATCAGTTGCACAGAGTCACCCAGGAGAGAAGATTTCGGTACCTCCTCCAAGGTCGATAGACTTGGCTCTTTGCGCCTTTGCTTTCTCAAAGCCCTTGGGGCTAAGGTCGACGTTACCCAGAGAAACGTTTACCCTGGTTTTCTTACCGATCCAATTTTTTTAGGCCCGAGCCGCATGGAGGTACAGTAGTACTCGTCCAGGAGACCCAGACCTGACCCAAAGCACGTGTGGTCGCCCGTGGACAGCCGCCTACCGTAGCTTTCGAGCCTTTCTCCGTTTTCGGGATTTCCTCCCTCTCGGTTCCGGGCTGGTTCGTCCCGTTCGCGTCCCAATCTCGGTCTGGTTGACTCGTTTTCGGTGTATTAGGTTTCACATGGTAGGTACGCAAGAGCCCAAGTATGCCCAGTCGTGCGTGCGGTTAACAAGACACTTTCAACGTAGATGAACCATCTTCATGTAGGTATTGCCGCCCGCAGCCCAGACTGTACCGACTTCATCCTCGAACTTCGCATTATCCACGTTTCTGCGACCTTTCTCGATCGCGACACGCCTTCCTTTAGATATTTCAAGCTTCCAACGACCCGGCATCATACAGTCATTACTGTTTTGTGGCTTTCGGGTGTAAGCCGTGTCCTGGTGGGATTATTTTCCTAACGTTTCGCTAGCATTGCAGCTAGCTTCATCATGAGTTCAAATGACTATAAAACCACTAAAAAATGTTCAATGCTTATGTATTGTGGTTAAAATAAAAACAAACCATTTTTTTTTTAGGAAATATATTCTATCTTTTTCTGAAGAGACATTATTTTTCAACACGATTTCACAAATGGTAATCTTTTTTGTTTACGCACTAAGTTCGTTTTCATTTTAACCACGATACATTGTTATTTGAATTGAATGTTTTAGGGTGGTTTTATAGTTACGCAGTAATCACTGTACGTCTTCCTTCGTTATCCGCGCAAGCTTTTATCCCAATTAACTATGTAACATCGCGTGTCGATGAAGCGTGAGAATGAAATCCGATCTCAAAGTTACGTTTTAACGAGGTCTGGAGAAGAACGCCTCTTGGGTCAACGATATTTCCTCTATTCCGTGGCGAGACGAGGGGTCCGGAGAGTTCGGGATTTCGACAGATTCGTGCACACGACAAAGTTTCTCTCGGATGAAATCATCTTCAACGAAAACTGAAGAACACTTATCGGGGTTCCGCTACGAAAGATTATAAAGAGGAAAAGGAGAAAAAACCGTGGAGAAAACACAGGGGCTTGACACACACGGCGTCGCGTCGTTTCGTCGCGTGATTCCGTGGTTGCTGTCAAAGGACAGGTTCGGTGACACATATTCGAGCTACCAATGCATCGTTTCGTTCTGTAGGCCGTCTCTCAACGCGGGCATTTTTTTCACCGACATCGTTCCACTGTTGATCCACTTCGCCGTGACGCGAACAGTG